TGGATTATTTCTTTTGCTTCAATTTCATTGATTTCAGCTCTGATTTTAATTATTTCCTGTCTTCTACTGCTTTGGGTGTTGATTTGTTCTTTTTCTAGGGCTTTGAGATATAATGTTAGGTTATTTATTTGTTAACTTTCTATTATGAATGAGCTCAGTGCATTGAACTTTCCTCTTATCACTGCCTTCATAGTGTCCCAGATATTTTGATTTGTTGTATTGGTATTGTCATTTACATCTAAGAATTTTTAAATTCATCCTTGATTTCTTCTGCTATCTATTTGTCATTCAGTAGCATAGTATTTAATCTCCAGGTGTTAGAGTAGCTTCCTTTTTTTAAATTTTATCGCTGATTTCTCATTTCAGTTCATTATGATGTGATAAAATGCAAGGTATTATTTCTATTTTTTTGTATTTGCTAAGAGTTGCCTTGTGCCTATGATATGGTCTGTTTTAGAGAAGGATCCATTTGCTGCTGAAAAGAAATTGTATTCAGTCTTGGATGGACAAAATATTCTCTGTGTCTGTTAAGTCTAAAATATTAATTGTATTTTTTAGTTCTGTAGCTTTTTTATTTAGTTTTTATTTGGAGGGTCTATCCAATGGTGACAAAGGTGTGTTAAAGTCACCCAGTATTACTGTGTGGTGGTCTATTTGCTTCTTGAAATTGACAAGGGTTTATTTGATGTATGTAGATGCTCCGATGTTTGGGGCATAAAAATTTCTGATTGTTATGTATTAATGATGTATGATTCTCTTAAGTAGTATGAAATGTCCTTCTTTGTCCCTTCTGATAACTTTGGCTTGAAGTCCACTTTATTTGATATGAGGATAGAAACCCCTGCTTGTTTACGAGATCCATCAGAATTATATGTTTTTTCCTATCCTTTTACCTTCAGTCTGTGGATGTCTTTGCCTATGAGGTGAGTCTCTTGGAGACAGGATATTTTGGAGTCTTGTTTTTTAATCCATTCTGCCAGTCTATATCTTTTGATTGATGAGTTTAGGCCATGTACATTCAATGTTATTATTGAGATATGATTTTTTTTTTAGTTTTTGATGGACACAAAACCTTAATTTTTTAAAATTTATTTTTATATGGTGCTGAAGATCAAACCCAGTGCCCCACACATACCAGGCAAGTGCTCTGCCACTGAGTTACAACCCCAGCCCTGAGATATGATTTTTATTCCCTGTCATTTTGATTTATTTTTTGGTTTTTAATTTGAATTAGTTTCTCCATTGATTCACTGTTTTTTTTTTTAGTGTACTTCCTCCCTTTGCTGGTTTTCACTTTTTTTTTTTATTTCATCCTCATGGAATATTTTGTTGAGAATGTTCTGTAGTGCAGGCTTTCTGGTTGTAAATTCTTTTAAATTTTGTTTATCATGGAAGGTTTTCATTTCATCAGCAATTCTGAAGCTTAATTTTGCTGGGTGTAGTATTCTTGATTGACATCCATTTTCTTTCACAGCTTGGTATATATTATTCCAAGACCTCCAAATATATGGGTCTGGGTTGAGAGATCAGCTGAGACCAAATTGGTTTCTCTCTAAATTTTACATATTGTTTTTCTCTGGCAGCCTTTAAAATTCTATCCTTATTGTATATATTAAGCATTTTCATAATAATGTGCCTTAGTGTGGGTCTGTTATAATTTTGTATATTTGAGGTCCTGTTTGCCTCCTATATTTAATTTTTTAATTTCATTCTTTTGGTTTGGGAAATTTTTTTATATTATTTCATTGAAAAGAGTGTGCATTTATTTCGTTTTTATCTTCAAGCCTTCATCTATCCCAATAAATCTTAAATTTGGTCTTTTCAGACTATCCCGTACTTACTGAAATATTCTGTTCATGGTCTCTTAACATCTTTTCTCCATGGTCAACTTTGTTTTCAAGATAAATTTGTTATCATTGGCTGAAACTTTCTCTTCCAAGTGTTCTAGTCTTTGGTAATGCTTTCAGTTGAATTTTTAATTTGGTTTATTGATTTCTTCATTTTGAGGATTTCTGCTTGGTTTTTATCAGAATGTCTCTTTATTGAAGTGATTCTTCACTTTCTGTATTTTCTGATTTCACTCCTTGTACTGTCCTTTACTTTGCAGATAGTTTAACTATGTACATCCTAAACTCCTTCTCTGATATTTTTTCCCCTGTGGTGTCAATGGATTTGGTTATTGGAATATATTAGCTTCTTTGGGGCATTTGTTCCCTGGCTTTTTCATATTGTTTGTGTGTCTACCCATCTAACACTATGGGTCTGAGGCAGTCAGCTCTGTGGACTTCTAGTGTCCCTGAAAATTTCTAGCACCTTACTGTTTAGGGGGAGACAGATAATAACAACAATATGCAGTATTAAACCAAATAGTTTCTGTTCTATAATTATAATAGTTATTTATGTCTATAATGAAAATTATCACTATAAACAGAAATTATATGATCAGTTATTACTTACAATAAAAATAGCAAGTTTGCAAAATGTTTATAATTTCAAGTGATAAACAGGGTGACAACAGACTGATATAGGATGTGATGATTATGAGGGAAGAACAGAGAAGAGAGAAGTGAAAGATTAAAGGAAGAGTGAAAATGATAACAATAGAGATCGGCTTTTAGTGGAAAATAGAAAAAGAGAATCAAGGGAAACGGATAGCTAAGGGAAAAATGTATACTTAAAGTAAAAATTTTAAAAAAATAAAAATAAAAGAATACAAAACAAAACTAAAATATGCTAAGCAAACATCCTACTCCTCAAAAAACTGATCCACAAAAAATAACTAGCTTCAAAAATGCTAGAAATGAGAAAAAAACAGATTGGAATATGTGTAAATGTCCATGTACCATTAATGTCACAATTAAACAGGGAAAAGAAAAAAAAAATCTCAATGAAAAGTTAAAAAACTCTTCCTGTTGGAGTTCAAAAGATTCTTTGCTGCTCTTCTCAGCAGTTTTGAGTGGAGTGTTGCCAAGGTCTCGGCTTGGCACCAGAATCACGAGCCACCACACACCTTTGTAGGTTCAAACAGCAATTCTTTATTCCCGCTCTCACACCACCTCCACACAGGTCCAGGTGCAAATCGCGTTCTGCCGTCTGCCCGCACCATTCACCTACTCCACGAGGCTATCTCCAAATCCCATTTCAATCTCACAGCAGGAACACCCTAATCCCAGCAATAATCTTCAACCTCTAACTTCCCTAAAACCCATTGTCTTAAACTGGCAACGCCTTAAACTCAAGGAGCCGGTTACTTCCTCAAACCTGATCAGCTCTAAACCCGGATCCGCCTTCCTTCAGCAAGGTCACCTTATTAAAGCATGCATGCAATGTCCCATCGAATGTCCTCTAAGCAGCATGGGGTAAGCTTGGCAAGGAAATTTCGATGCGTCATTCCTACTTGGTAATGGCCCTCAGCAGAGTGTTATGCTACACCCTCTGGATTCCTGGAGAGAGGTAATCCCAAGCAGAACTTTAGGAGGTAGGGTTTAGGCTTAGCTGGGCTCCAGGCTCTTTGCTGAATGCCAGTTGGTCTGGAGATTTTAAATAATCATACCTCCAGAGCCCTATAATTGTCTGTACATGCTGGAAGACTGTACCCCAGGGATCTTCCATGGGTTCTACTCAAAATAGCAAGTTTTGTGGTAGAGAAGCCAATTCTTAGTCCCCTGTGTCACTTGCAGACCCCATGTTTCCTTGTCTTGGGTCAGTCTCCAAATTCACTCTCTTCTGCCCCTGCTCTTCAAATTCCCAGCCAGGTATGTCTCTCCCAGCCTGTCCATGCAGTCAAATTGAAGCGGGGGAGGTAGAGCCAGGTGGGTTTCTGCAACTAGTTGTCCCCTATGTAAAATTCTCTCCATGTTTAATTTTCTTTTTGTCACTTAAGTACACTCTGTCATGCATTTTGTGTTTACTGCGCCTGTATTTTGGGCCAAACTAGGGTTTGCCAGGAATCAGATCCCTCAGCTCTTGGCTCCATGCCGTGACTCAAAATGGTGTCCATGACTCAAAACGGTTTCTTTTCTTATCCTCTGCATGCAGCCAGGTGAGATGATAGCTGCATAAGGATATTGTGTAGCATGCCTTTCATTTTAATCAGGCATTGTCCTTGGTCTCTAAATACTCTGTACCCAGACATGCCTTAGGCCTCCTAAAAATGTGGTTTCCTTTAATTTCCTTATCCCTCCACATCTCTTGCAGAGGGACCATTCTAGCTGGTGTTTCTAGCCCAGCCTAGGCAATGGCTATGCCCCTGGGGATTTCTTCCTTGTTTTATTATATCTAATCTCCTGAGTCCCTGATTTTTGAATGTCCAATATTAAATTCCATTAAAGTATACCCCCCCCCTTTGTGTTTACTCACCTTGCTGAGAAGCTGCCTGTCTGCTTTCTTGGTTCACTCCACAGAGCAGCCAGGAAACGACCTCCTCTATTCTGCCATCTTGAAAAAAGTCTGGATAATTATTTTATGAATAAAATCATTGCACTTCATTGCTACAAGATTTTTTTTTTCTTTTGAGCCTCATGGGAACAGACTGTACCAGGTCATAGAGTGCTTCATTATTAATGTAGTTAATTTGTCACAGGAGTTGAGGAATATTGAGCTGATTAGTGGAAACTAACAACTACCATTCAACCCATGTTCTGCTGAAAATAGGAAATAGTATAAACTATACTAATAGAAATAGTATAAACTATACTAATAATTCTAGGAAATAGTATAAACATGTATACATACACATTTTATTTTTAAAACCAAGAAATTATTTGATATTCCTACTATCATCTGGGTGTTTCTTGTTCCTGTATCTGAAAAACAAATTTATTGCTGGATTTCTGTGTTCTGATGATTTTAATTCACGTTGTTAGTACCTAATTATATATTTTTTTAGTTCTGTGTGAATCTTGGAAAAAAATGAAGCAAAATTATTTTAAAGAGTCTAATAATAAGAGAAAATTTGATTACTTTTATGCTAATTGAATTTCTTTCTCTTCTTAATATAGGAGATTTTTCAAGAGCTTGGGATGTTCTTCTTGACCATATACAGTCAGCAGCACTCAGCAAAAACAATGAAGTGTCTCTGGCTGCTCTGAAAAGCTTCCAGGAAATTTTACAGATTGTGTCCCCTGTCAGAGACTCAGATAAGCCTGAGACTTCACCTGTAGTTAATGTACCTGTGCCTGTCCTTATTGGGCCTATCTCAGGCCCTGGTTTAAGCCGGCCATTCATAAGAACAGATTCTATTGGAGAAAGACTTGGAAGATATAGTAACTCTGAGCCACCCATAGTTACTGATGAGCTTGAAGACTTGAATCTCTGGTGGGCTGCGTGGAATACTTGGTATAGAATTGGATCTGAAAGCACTAAACCTCCTATTACTTTTGATAAACTAACTTTTATTCCCAGCCAACCCTTTCTTACAGCTTTAATTCAGATATTTCCAGCACTTTACCAACACATAAAAACTAGTTTTAACATGGATGACTTGCAAAAGTTGGGAGTCATATTACACAGTGCTGTTTCAGTTCCAATAAGTTCAGATGCATCTCCTTTTATTCTTCCATCTTATACTGAAGCAGTTCTGACAAGTTTACAGGAAGCTGTACTTACAGCTTTAGATGTTCTCCAAAAGGTAATATGATTTTATTGACTAAGCAGTAATTAATATGGTTTCTGAATTTTTTTTAACTTTGCTATATATTTTTGAGGATAAATTCTAGACTATCAAATTGTTGTGTAAGTGTACTTGAGGATAAATTCAGGATTGTCAAGATATAGTTACTTAAAAGACTCACAGCTTTCTGGTATTTTCAAAAAGGTAATTAAGGCCTACTTTGAGTCTTTTAAGAAGCTGCCTACATGCTCTTATTCCAGTTCACCAGCATTTTTGATATGTTAATACAGTTTTTCACAAAAGAATATGGTATTATTATTCAAAAATTAATAAGAATTGGGATTATATTTTGGTATTGTTTTCATTTGTACTTAAATTTAGTTCCTAATTTATTAGAAACCTACATGAATAAAGGATAAGTTTATAAAAGTCTTTTTCTCACAGAAATTTTAAGAAGTTATGTTTTTAGCTTTGGGTTTTGTTATTGCAAAAATAGCTAATCATTAAAACAAGCAGACCTAAAAATCATTGAAAAAGCTAGGCGTAATGGTGCATGCCTGTAATCCCAACGGCTTGGAATGCTGAGGCAGCAGGATCATAAGTTCAAAGCCAGCCTCACCAACTTAGAGAGGCCCTGAGTAACTCAGTGAGACCCTGTCTCTAAATAAAATACAAAAAAAAAGGGGGGGGGCCAGGGATATGGTTAAGTGGTTGGTTAAGTGTCCCTGGATTCACTCCCCAGTAAAATTAAAAAAAAACAAAATCATTGAGCAAATCCAAATTATGAAGTAAAACTAGATAAAAATAAAGTGTTTTTAGATTATCAAGGAAATTGATAGCACAATTCAGAATCATTATAATGTTAAACAAAATAAAGGGTCAACTGAAGGTTGGGAATATAGCTCAAATATAAACAGTCAACTGAAATGCCTGCCATTCCAAGATACTCTAACAAAAGCAAAATACAGCTAGATTCTAGGCAGGCATGCGTAAAACCCCAGCACCTCCAGAAACTGAGGCAGGAGAATCACAAGTTTGAGTCTAGCCTGGGCAATTTAATGAGACCCTGTCTCAAAAAAGGCTGGAGATATACAGCTCAATAAACACTCTGGGTTTAATCCACACTACAAAAACAAAAAACAAAACTAGATTCTGATCACATAGAGATTTTCAGTTGTTAAATAATGAAAATCATGTTTTTTAATTAACCAAATTTTTTTGTTTGTGTTTTGTGTGTGTGTGTGTGTGTGTGTGTGTTTCTCACACATTCTGGGGATTTAACCTAGGGCAATTTGGCACTGATCTACATCCATGCTCCCTTATTTGGGGGTTGGGGAGGCAGTATGGAAATAAGGGGCACTTAGCCATTGAGCCTCATCTCCAGCCCTTTTTTATATTTTATTTAGAGACGGTGTCTTGCTAAGTTGCTAAGACTGATTTGAACTTGCAATGCTTCTGTCTCAGCCTCTCAAACCGCTGGGATTATAGGCATGTGCCACTATGCCCACCTAATTGATTGTTTTATCCAACTAGAGCGATGAAAACTTTCGTAGTAATAATGAAAATACTTCTAATAACCATGATATCACTTAATTGCCTCTGAAGACAATATAGCTAAGTAGTAACTTGTTCTCTATTTAATCCTTAGTTGCATTGTACAGGGAAACAAATGTGGAGAAAATTAAAATTTAAGAAAATCTGGCATTTTAGAAAATTGTGAGGAATACTTAATATTTCTACCCTGCCTCCCATCTCTCCAGAATGGGAATTACTTTGTGTGTGTGTGTGTGTGTGTGTGTGTGTGTGTGTGTGTGTGTGTGTGTGGTGGTGGTGGTAGTGGTGGTGGTGCTGGGGATTGAAACCATGGCCTTATGCATGCTAGGCAAGCACTCTACCAACTGAGCTAGATCTGGATGGGGAAACAACCTGCAGCTGAGGTTGGCGGCACCTTTTTCATTTAGATGTGAGGGAGGCCAGGAAAGGGTTAGCTTAATCATTTTCTATACACCAAGCTGTGCCAGCAGTCCATGGGCCCCTGATTGTTTCTCTGTAGACTCTTCAGACCAAGATACTATTTGGTATGTGTCCAAATCACTGCTCACCACTGATGTTCTAGAGATGGTGAGCTAATAAAATGTCAGCTCTTATTATGTTTATCACAGTCCCAATTCCCCATCACCACCATAGGTGGTGTTAGAAAACCTTAATTCCCAGCCCCAACCCCACTTTTGTATGGACTACAAATAAAACTTGGGGCAATTTGCAGTTTGGAGGAAAAAATATTAATTTCCCACAATTTGAAGTGAAAGTAACTTTTTGTTTTCATTGGGGAAAAAATGTAGTCTATCAATAATTACTCCCCCCACTGGACATATAAATAAATTGATTATAAAGGGAACTTTCAGTTGATCCTTTTTATTCCCTAAAGGGGAATAAAAATTTTTTTCTAACAGAAAATAAAATTATAGGCCTTTCAGAGATACTTATAATCTAGATCTCTCATTGACATGTTTGATTCAGGTTTTAAAATATATGTAGAAGATAAAAAAAACACCTTAATTACCTTTCAAGGAAAAAAAGTATATTTCAATTTTTAAACTCTGAGCTTTTGATACCTTGAAAACAAAATATATATCTTTAAGTCTGAAATTTAGGAAGCTTTATATTTCATTTATATCAGTTCATATCATTTTTATATGATTATTAATTTATACTCTAGCCATTGTTTTATTCTTTGCATAATTACCTGATGTTGCACAAACCTTGAATGTGAAATTTATTGTAGTATCTTTTAACAGAAAAATTAACAATTTATTTCAGTAAGTGATTTTATACTTTCTACAAGTGTTAGAAAATTTTTGCACAAGCAAAATTTACTTTGGGATTTTATCTTTGAACTATCTAGCAAAACATTTCCTTGATTACAACCAATTTTCTGTCCTAAAGGAAAAACTCTCTTCAACATTATTAGTTACCCTTATATTATTTAGTGCTTCATAATCTTAGTCTTATTTCTCATAGGACTAGTTACTGACCAGCCTGACTTGGTTATGTGTGCTAATTGATTTTTTTCCTAAATTATTTTTGCATACATGGGGGAACTGATAATTTGATTGTCTGCTTTGTGTATGTAATGTACTATAAGTTCTGATGTCAGGAGACTACATCTGACTTATGTATTGCTAAGCTTCTTTAGGTCAGGTAGCTGGGTACAACATATGACTGCTGGACTTGTACTTCAGAGACATTATCACATTGTGTGTGAATGTGTCTTTGGAGTTGTGTAATGAACTCCTATCTTCTACAGAATATATGGCAAGTTTCTTAATCTTTTTATATTCAGCTTCCTCATTTGTAAGATAAAAATAAATCTACAACTTTTTGCCTTTTAAGTAGAATTTGTAAGGCATTTTTTAATTTATGTATGACAGCGGATTGTATTACAATTCTTATTACACATATAAAGCACAATTTTTCATATCTATGGTTGTATACAAAGTATATTCACACCAATTTGTATCTTCATACATGTACTTTGGATAATAATGGTCATCACATTCCACCATCATTTATAACCTCATGCCACGTCCCTTCCCCTCCAACCCCTCTGCTGAATCTAGAGTTCATCCATTCCTCCCATGCTCCAGTACCTGACAGAAGGTAAACACTGAGTAAATGTTAGCCCTTATTATTTTTATCATCATGTTCTCTGGCAAAGACATTAGTACAAGGCTTCGACTAGATGATGTGTTGGTACATGAGTTACTAAGCAAAACCTTAAACTATTTCTTTTCTTGTTTTTATGTATATGGCTTTCAAGGACTAATAAGAAATATTGCCCAGATTATCAATTTTCATCTCTTTACTAAAATTTGTTTTTAGGTTCATCCTGTATATTTTTCTGATAAACTTCAAAATACTGAAGAAAAGCCAATCAAAATTTTTCTTGGCTGAAATTTGTTCCCCAAAAGGGAAGGGGGCTTTCATATTTTGCATTTCATAGTCCTAGAATTGCTTAATAAGTCAGCAATACCACTCTTAGTATGTTTTCAAAAAAAGACCATTGGAAATCAAATGCATAATCAAAAATACTATCATGTAAGATACTTCTAAAGAAATTGTGATACTTAGCTTTCTGAAGCATCCACATGATTAGAGCATCCAACACTTAGAGTGGTGACAGTATCCACTGTAATTAATTACCACTTGTTTACTTCCAAGAGTTGAGATCCCAGCAAAAGGTTAATAAAGAAGAAAGTAGAACTATTAGAAGCAGTCAGAAAAGATAATTTTCTTTAGAATGTATAAATTTTATTCAAGTTCTCTATTCACTGTTTTTGAGAAAAATAACCAAATGTTGAGAGTTGTTATTAGATGTCTTTATTGTATTTTACTACACTGTAATTGTAGGATGATCTAACTTATGTGTGGATAGCCCTTGCTTATCTGCTTTTTATCTCAGTGCAGTTTTATCTAAATTTTAGTCATAGATAAATGACTAGGAGGCAGGGATAAAATAATCTGATAAGTTTTAAAAGCCATAGATGGGGGGGCATGGGACAGTGGAGAAACTTTGGACTGGGCAAAGGTGAGGGAGGGAAGGAGAGAGGGAATGGGAGTAGGAAAGATGGTGGGATGAGACAGACATCACTACCCTAGGTACGTGTATGACTGCACAAATGTTGTGCCCCTACTTCTTGTACAACCAGAGAAGTGAAAAATTGTGCTCTGTTTATGTACAGTGAATCAAAGAGCATTCTGCTGTCATGTATAACTGATTAGAACAAATTTTAAAAAATTTAAAAAGCCAGATTGTATAAAAAAATATTTTTTAAAGTTTTTTCTTAAAATTTTTAAATGCTTTTCTAGCATGTGTAAGGCCCTGAGTAAAATATACCCAGTACAATAAAAAAATAAAGCTAAATAAATAAAACTTTAAATTTTAGTTTAGTGTTTTGAGGGTACACTCAAAATACCCTTTTAAGTGTATAGTGATTATGTTTTTTATTTTGTACAGCACAATGGTATTTTAAATACTCCATAAATATTGCCAATAAATATTTAAATATTTTTAGCATATTTGAAGTCATAATCTACAGTATCAGGATATACATTTTATTCTTTCTGTTTAATTATTTGAAGTAATATATCTAGAGAAACTAGCTAGTATTCATTAAAATGATATGTTATTAATTTGTATTAAAATATTTTCTTGTTTTAAATCAAATTTATTCAGAGAAATTAGACATTAAATATTTAGCCTGGGGGCTGGGGATGTGGCTCAAGCGGTAGCGCGCTCGCCTGGCATGCGTGCGCCCGGGTTCGATCCTTAGCACCACATACAAACAAAGATGTTGTGTCCGCCGAGAACTAAACAATAAAACATTAAAAATTCTCTCTCTCT